CGGCACGATGTGCAGCCCGATTTGCTTCGCGCCTACGTCGCCGATGCACCGCCGATGCATCGGCGGTGCGGCGCGATCCTCCGACCCCATCTGTACTCTGAAGACCACCTCGGAGGCCCCTACACTCCAGGCGATGCTTAAGAAAACCCAAGTTTTCGGCCAGAGTCTCGATTATTCTTAATGTTTCAATGTAAATCTTAACATTTGAATAGACATTCTGGGTTTGATTTCAAATTCTGAGACAATGAATTTCTTAACCCATGATTTCTAAAGCATTTCGCAGGGTGTACACTCCCCCGCCAGGTCTGCTGCGTCCCGCCCCCGGTGCTCCTCCCGCCGCCGGCGGGCCGCTCCCCGCCGCGGCGCGCGGGCTCCCCGCCGCCCGCGCCGCCCCGGGCGCGCCCGCGGGCCGCCCCGGGCGCCCCCGCGGCCCCCGAGGCGCGGCCCGAGCGGCGCTCGCAGGAGCGCGGCGCCCCGCCGCCGCGGCGCGCCGCCTCCTCCAGCGCGGCCTCGGGCCGGGCGGGCCAGCCCCGCGCGGAGCCGCAGGCGAAGGACCTTCTCGGGGCTCAAGAGACGGAGGTCCACGCCAGCGGGGGTCAGCCAGGGCGCCGGATCTCGTCCTGCGGGCCCAGACCCTTCGGGTACTGCAAAATACTCCTCTGGAGGCCCGTAGCGGCCCTCGGGACCGTCGAAAGACGGCTCGGCATCGAAAAAACCGGTCCCGCGGAAGGGTCCAGGCTCCTGGGGGTCACGTCATAGTGGGGGGCGAGAGGCCGAGAGGCCCGAGAGGCCGAACGCGGGGAAAGGCGGTGAAGCTGGCGCAGACCCCTGGGTGTCGACGTTGTGAAAAGTCACGGCGTCGGGGGGTCCTGCTGGGGCTGCACTGGACCAGGCTGGGGGCTCATGGCCCTGCAGGGCCCTGCAGGAGCTTGCCTGAGCCTGCAAGGAGTCAGGAGGGAGAAAAGCACACAGACACAATGAATCGTCGATTCCCCGGAAAACAAGGGAAAATATGAGAAGTGGGGGGGAAAACAAAAACCCTGAAAAAAAATTGGAAATATGTGGAATCCTGTTATTCGTGTGTCCCACGGCCCCTTCAAAGGAGCCTGATCGGCCTGGGTGTAAGCATGAACTTTTGGCGCTCCGCGCGGATTTCTTGGATCTGCGCTGCGCCCCCCCGGCTGCGCCTCCGGCGTCGCCCCCTGGGGCGCTCCGCGCGCCAGGGAGGGGGGTCCAGCGCAGATCCAAAAAATCCGCGCGGAGCGCCAAACGTCTATACTGACCCGGGCCGGTAGTTAGATCTAGATCCCCGACTATGCGCCCGCCCCCTGCTGAGCTGCGTGCGAAGCCCAAGAAGCGGTATGTAAGCACCATTTTTCGACGGCCTGCGCGGATTCCTCGGATTCGCGCTGGACCCCCCTGACGGCGCCTCCGGCGCCGCCCCTGGCGCGCTCTGCGCGCCATGGTTGAGTCGGGCATGTCCCCCCACAGAAGGAATATGTAGAAACAGTCCAAAAAATAGTCAGGGCACGTTGGTTCTTCCATCTTCCAAAATCCGCCTGTAGGAAGGAGGGCATGCGCGACCTGACGCCAGGGAGGGGGTGCCTGGTGCGAATCCTAGAAGTCCTGTTTGTGCAGGTATTTTCGGCTCGTCCTCTGCGCAGAGCGCCCCAGACGAGGCGGCCTCCGGGCCTCGAGCGCGGGCGCCGGCGCTGCTCGTGTCTCGCCCGTCCCCCAGCCCAGCGGAGCTCGGGGGGAGGATTAAGTCGGGCCTGTCCTGCTACAGGGGGAAGATTCAAAAATAGTCTAACAATCGTCAAGGGAGTGTTTTTTTCGTATTGTTTGACCATTTTGGAGCACTTGTTGATTATTTTTTATTTTGAGTGCGTCGAAAATCTCTCTGCAGGAGGACAGGCCCGACCGAAGGGGAGGAGGGGGGCGATCGCCAGCACGGATCCAGGGGGCGTGGACTCGCGCCGAGTCCCGTTTCCATGGGAGATCGCGGATTTCCGCCGCCAGGCGAGGCGGCACCGGCCGCATTTTGGGGAGGGCACCTCCCCCGATCCATGGATGTGTCGACCCCGCGCCAAACCCATGGATCGCTAATCCATGCTTGCTTGGGTGGGCAGCGGGTCCCAGGGCAGAGGAGGAGGAGGAGGAGGAGGAGGAGGAGGAGGAGGAGAAGGAGGCGGAGGAGGAGGAGGAGGAGGAGGAGGAGGAGGAGGAGGAGGAGGAGGAGGCGGAGGAGGAGGAGGAGGAGGAGGAGGAGGAGGCAAGGGGTCGGGGGACCGTGCGCCGGCAAAGCCGAGGCGCCGGAGGTCTGGGGAGATGCCGGTGCCGGCAGGCCCGCGCGCCCCCCCCGCCGGAGAGCCGCTCTTCGAGCTATATCCTGGCCAGGGCACGCCCCGAGAGGCCCGGTGTACGTGAGTGTACCCCCAGACCCCCTCCCAGACATGATGGCGTCGTAACGAATCAGGACGGGAGGTTTTTCGCTATTTTCGGCCCCGGGAGGCCCTCGCCGGGCCTCGGGACCGTCAAAAAGCGACTCAGGACGAAAAACCGGTCCCCGGGAAAGGGTCGGGACTTCGGGGGACGCCGTCTTGAAAAAATCAGGACGTCGCATGTCTGGGCTCGGGTAGTGAAAAAATAATGACGGGATGTTTTCCCAAATTTTCGGCCTCTGGAGGCCCGTACCGGCCCTCGAGACCGTCAAAAAGAAGACTCAGGATGGAAAACTGGTTCCCGGAAAGGGGTCGAGGCCTCTGGGGGTCGACGTTGGGAAGAAGTCACGACGTCGTTGGTCTGGGCTGCTTCCTCCCAGGAGCGGCGGGGCGCGGGCGCGCGCGCGTGCGCAGCCGGCGGCGAGCGCCCCGCCGTTGCGCCGCCGCCGCCGCCCCTGCGGCGGAGGGCTGCCTCGTCCGCGCCGCGGCCAGGGCCGCCACCTGCGGCTGGCCGTGAAGGGCCGCGCGCGCGCCCAGCGCAGGCCGCGCGGCCGCAGCGGCTCCTGTGGCGGGAGGGCCCCGGCGGCGGCAGGGGCGCCGTGCTGCCGGGGTGCCCCAGGGCACGGAGGCCTCCTCGTCTCGGTCGTCGTGGCCGTGGTTGTCGTGGTCGTGGACCACGGCCAGGGCTCGTCGTGGTCGTGGTGGTCGTGGTCGCGGCCGTGGTCGTCGCCGCCGCCGCCGCCGTCGTCGTCGTCGTCGTCGTCGTCGTCGTCGTCGTCGTCGTCGTCGTCGTCGTCGTCGTCGTCGTTGTCGTCGTCGTTGTCGTTGTCGTTGTCCTGTATCCCTGCGTTTCGTTGACCTGCTGCTGGCGGCGGCTCTTCCTCCTCTTCCCCTCCGCCGCTGTCGTTGCCGCCGTCGTCGCCACCTTTCTCCTACGCCTGCTGCTCCTCCTCCGTCACCCTACACCTGCTGCTGCTCCTTTCTCCTCCGCCTGCTTCCCTCCTACGCCTGCTTCTCGTCCCTTGTCACTGTTCTCCAGCTCCTCCTCCGTCGCCCCGCGCCTGCTGCTGCTTCCTTCCTCCTGCTGCTGCTCCTTTCTCCTGCGCCTGCTTCTTCTACGGCTCGTCACCCCTCTCCTGCGCCGTTGTCGACCTGATGCTGCGGCTGCTGATCCTCCTCCGTCCATTTCAGACAACTCCCTGTCGCACCCCAGACTTGTGGGTAGGGCGGGCTGGGCGTTTCGCTTGAGTCGTCCTTACACCACCCGTGTCCCCGAAGCTAGAAGTTTGCAGCAGTTGCAAGGATGGATCCCAGGTGATTTCAAACTGGAGCTCTCGCCTTAGCGCCGTGCACATTCGTCTTGCAAACTTGCATCAGCTACGCAGGCGGAGCAGAGGTGATTTTTAACATGGGGCTGCCGCCTCAGCGCCGCGCAGGCTTGTTTTATAAGTTTGCAGCAGCTATAAGCATGGCGGGTGGTTCTTTGTCACAGTGAGCCTCCCGCCTTCGTGCCAGGCAGACCCGTTCTAAAAGCTTGCAGCAGCTGCAAGGATGGAGGACGGCTCCCTTCAAAGTGGGGCTGTTGCGTCAGCGCCGCGCAGATTCAGATTCGTCGTACAAGCTTGCAACCTTTGAGAAGAGGAGCGACGGATCCTTTTCAACACGGGTCCCTCGCTTAACGCTGCCTTGAATTATGAAGCAGAGCTTCAACATGTGTGGACGCTGTACGTATGGAGGGCGGTTGCATTTCAAAGTTGGGCTCGCTTCAGACATCCTCGATGCTCATGGCCAGAAACGCAGCAGTTACACAGATGGGGGGCGGCCCTTTCTCAAGACGGGGATCTCGCTGGACACCCCGTCGAGCTTTCATGAGGAGGCGAGGCAGTTCCTTTTCAAAACGAGGGCGCCTCTGTGAGTGAAGCGAGAGGCAACCAGGGACTTCAGAGAAGGGGACTTCCGAACGGAAGGGTGTATTGCAGCATCGCTGAGGCATCTTGGGTTTACTATGGTCCTTCTCCTCCTCCTCCTCCTCCTCCTACTCCTACTCCTACTCCTACTCCTCCTCCTTCATTTCTTCGCCTCTGGGACGGGTCTCGCGTCGACGCCCCGCCGAACCCTCGGCTTTTCTTTGCGTGCTGGTCGAGCGGATCCGCCGAGCGGTGCCCGCTTCCCCGTCTGAGGCTGCCGCATCGTTGCTTTTCAGGCCACTGCTGGACTCGGATGCTCTTCTTCAGCTGTGCCCTGTTCCTTCCGCCATCTCCTTCCCCCCCTCCCACCTCCCACCCCTCCCACCTCCCACCTGTTCCCTGTTCCCCCCCTCCCACCTCCCACCTCCTCCGTGGAGGTGTCGCAGCTGCCCGGAATCGCCGGTGGCCCCAGGGCCGCCGGAAGCCGGCCTGGATTTCCCAGTGCCGCCAGAGGCGCCGCCGCCCTGGCCCCTGAGGCTGGCCAGCGCAGGCGCGGGGGCCGGCGGCGGCGCGGCCCGCGGCGCACAGCCCGAGCCCGCGGGGCTGCGCCTGCACGGGCGCAACGGCCAGACGTCGCCGTCGCTGTCGTCCCCGACGCTCGCCTCGCCGCTGCCGTCCTCGCCCCTGCCGCGCAGCAGGCCCGGGACGTCGTCGTCGTCGTCGTCGTCGTCGTCGTCGTCGTCGTCGTCGTCGTCGTCGGAGTCGGAGTCGTGCCGGGGTCGGGGCGGAGGCGGAGGCGGAGGCGGAGTCGGAGTCAGAGGAGGAGGAGGAGGAGAAATGGGTGATTATGTCGATGTCTCCCGCCCTTCTCTGGGCCGCCCTGGGGCTGGGGGCCCCTTGTCGCCCCGGCTGGATCCGCCTCGTAATCTGTTGATTCCCCCTGATGTCTCGGCGTCGTGAAGAACACGGCGGGCGTCGTCGCCCACTTGCTCTGGGCACGGGGACCCTCCGCGGGTCGGCCTGGCGTGAAGGGCCAGGCAGAGCGACGGGCCGATGTCGTGGTGGGATCGGCCAGGTCAAGAGGCTGGGCCACCCGAGGTCTGGACCTCGCAGTGGCTGTTGGCGGTGAGTGTCGAGCTGCGCTGCTGCGCTGCCGCGCGTATCCGCCTCCGAGCTGCGATGGGGGGAGGGATGGGGGCCTTGGTGGCCGCCTCGTCGTCCCTGCCTCCTCCCTCCCTCCCCCCTCCCCACTGCCGCGCGCGCGGGAGGGCGCATGGGCGGGCTGGGCAGCGGGGAGGGGTCCACGAATGGCCGCACCAGATCTTCTGTTTGTGGCTTCAGGTTCCGTGTGGATGGTCAGAAACGCAGTGACTTGGAGCTCAACGTGGATGCATGTTGGGCTCGATGAGCTAGCCCCCCCCAGCGGTTGCCCCGTCAGAGCGTAACTACTGAAATCAGAGGCAGCAGCGTGTAGTGGGGATTCCCCACTGCAATCTCTCGGCCGAGAACCGCGGGCAACGCGTCCTCCTCCGCCTCCTCCTCCTCTTCCTCCTCCTCGGCCTCACCCTCCCTCCTTCTCATCCTCCAGGCCCTCCATCTTCCTATCTTGCCATTGGCCTTCCTCCTCCACCAGCACATGCTCCTGCAACCCCCTGAAACTCGACCACCCCTGCATCTCCTTCATCGTCGTCGTCGGCGTCCTCCTCCTCCTCCTCCTCCTGCTCCTCTTCCTCCTCCTCCTCCTCCTTCTCCTCCTGCCCGTCCTGCCCATCCTCCTCTTCCCGCTCCCTCTCTTCCTCCTCTGCCTTTCCCTCCTCCTCCTCCTCCTCCTCCTCGTGCTCCTGAGCCTCCTGCTCCTCGGGCGCTGGCGCCCGCGGGCGGGTTGAACAGTGTCGCTTGGTTGCGGTTGCGGTTGCGCCCGCGGGCGGTTTGAACTGTGCCGCTTGGTTGCGGTTGCGGTTGCGGTTGCTTGGTCGCGGTTGCGATCGCGGTTGCGTCCGCGGGCGGGTTGAAATGTGTCGCTTAGTTGCGGTTGCGTTTGCGGTTGCGACCGCGGGCCCGCGGGCGGTTTGAAGTGTGTCGCCTAGTTGCAGTTGGGCCCGCGAGCCCGCGGGCGGGTTGATTTGTGTCGCCCAGTTGCGTTTGCGGTTGCGCCCGCGGGCGGTATGAAATGTGTCGCCAAGTTGCGGTGGCGGTTGCGCCCCCGGGCGGTTTGAAATGTGGCGCTTGGTTGCGGTTGCGGTTGCGCCCGCGGGTTGGTTGAAGTGTGTCGCTTGGTTGTTGTTGCGGTTGCGGTTGCGCCTGCGGACGTGTTGAACTGTGTCGCTTAGGTGCGATTGCGGTTGCGGTGGCTCCCGCGGGCCCGCGGGCGGGCTGAAATGTGCCGTTTGGTTGCGGTTGCGGTTGCGCCCGCGTCGCCTGGTTGCGTCTGCGGTTGCGCCCGCGGGCGGGCCGAAATGTTTTTTTTTTTTTTTATTCTCAAAAGTGGCCCGCCAGATCAGTCAGTTCAGTCCAGTTCAGTCTGGCGGGCACGGAATTTCATCTGGCTCCGCCGGGAATGCACGCCAACCGCTGGACAGCGCGGGGTGAACCCCCACTGGCCCGAGTCGATAGGCTGCAGGGGCGGGGCTCAAATGTGGCCGCCTGCGTCCTTCGCCAACCGCTGCGCGGCGCGGAGGCGGATCTTCAGGACGTCCGACGATGTGACTTCTCAATCCGCGGCCGCGGAGGTTCCAACCTCTTCGCCGGGGCATGTTTCTCGCCCCAGATCAGGTTTTGGGATCCCTGGGTGCCGAAAAGTGCCCCCTGCGGCCGACATGAAGGAAAGGCGACGGGATTCGAAGAAGAACGAGCCTCATGAACCCAAGCTTTCGGGGCTCCGCGCGGATTTCTTGGACCTGCGCTGGGCCCTGGGCTCCATCCCCGCGGACCTCCCAAAGTTTATGTTTATGAAGCTTCTTCCTGTATATGGAAAAAACGAGCAACCGTTTGGATGTCTCGGTTCGCGCCCCCTTGCAGGCATCTCTGCGCCCCGGACAGGCTCCTGGAGGCCGCCTGGCTTCTCCACGGGGCGGAGCGCGATGAGGCTGGGCGTGGCGGGCCGCTCGACAGCTCCCCAGAGGCAGTGCTCCTCGCCGTCGCCGTCGCCGCCGAAGTGGTCGTTTTCGACGTCGCCGTCATCGTCCTCGTCCTCGACGTCGCCGTCGTCCACGTCCTCGCCGTCACCGTCGGCGTTGGCGTCGGCGTCGCCGCCGCAGCTGTCGTCGTCCTCGCCGCCGTCATCGTCGCCGCTGTCGTCGTCCTCGCAGCCGTCGCCGTCGCCGTCGCCGTCGCCACTGTCGTCGCCCTGATCGCCGTCGCCGTCATCGTCGCTGCCATCCTCGTCCGCGTCGTCGTCCTCGCCGTCGCCGCCATCCTCCTCCCTTTTCCCGCCGAAGGCGGCGCTCACACCGCTGGCCGTCGCGGGCGGCGGCGGCTTCGGCCGCCGCGAGCCACCTCAGGCTGGTGCGGCGCGGAGGAGCCTCTTCGAGTGGCCCACCGCGGTGGGCGGCAGCGACGCTGGCGGGCCGCCGGGCGTGCCGGCAGCGGGCGGCGCGGACGTGAAAAGCCACGTGAAGAAAACAATGCTTCTTGTCGTGTTCGCCCTGCGGAGGCCCTGAGACCGTCGAGCAACGAGTCAGGACGAACAGCCTGTCCCCAGATCCCCGACGTCGAGATTCTCCCATGACTCGACCCCCAGGAGCCTGGACCCCTTCCCTGGGACCGGCTTCTCGCCCCGAGGCCCGGCGAGGGCCCCTGGAGGCCAGAAGTAGCGAAGAACCCATCCGTCGCGATTCTTTTTCGCACTGCGAGGAGGCCTGGGCCCCCTGGGCAGAGGTCGGGACCTCTCGGGGGCGATGTCGTGTGAAAGTCACTGCGCCGGGTGGGCTGGGAAGGCTCAGGAGGGGAAGAAACACACAGACACAATTAATCGTCGATCCCCAGGAAATATGGGAAAATATGGGAAGTGGGGGGGAAGACAGAAACCCAGAAAATTCTAGACGCTTCGCGTATCCCCACCAGCCCGTCCAGAAATGAGCCCCAGAGGAGTGGAGGTGATGAGGGAAGCGGGGGAGCATGCAGAAGAACAAAGAGCGGGTTAAGCCGCCATACGTTCCAAGAGGGGGAGGATGTAGGAGGAGTCGTCGTCGTCGGAGTAGGAGGAGGAAGACGAGGAGCAGGAGGAGGAGCAGGAGGAGGAGGGGGAGGAGGAGGAGGAGGAGGAGGAGGAGGAGGAAGATGAGGAGGAGGAGATGGAGGAGGGCGAGGACGAGGAGGACGAGAAGGAGGAGGAGGAGGAGGAGAAGGAGGAGGAGGAGGAGGGGGAGGGGGAGGAGGGAGGAGGAGAAAAAGAGGAGGAGGAGGAGGACAATGGCGAGCTTGGGGGCCTCTTGGGCCGTCTTTGGGGCCTCTTGGCGGTCCCGGGGGCCTCTTGCGTATCTCGGGGAGCTTCTTGTGTCCTTTTGAGAGTCTCTTGGAGGCCTCTTGGAGGCCTCTTGGGGGCCTCTTGGGGCCTCTTGGGGCCCTCTTGGGGCGCTCTTGGGGCGCTCTTGGGAGCCTTCGGGGCGCTCTTGGGGCCATCTTGGAGGAGATCTATCAAGAAGGGGGGGTTGCTTATTAGCGTTGCCCCTCTAGAGTGCCTCGAATCGCCTCTTGGGCCTTCCTAGAGGCCAAAATCCGTCCAAAACCTAAGGAAAATCAATGTTTTTTGCTTTCTCGCCTTTTCGCTCTTGGAGCCGTCTTGGGCCATCTTGGGAGCATCTTGGGGCCTCTTGGGGGTCTCTTGGGAGCCTCTTGGGGGCATCTTGGGGGCCTCTTGGGGCCTCTTGGGGCCCTCTTGGGGCGCTCTTGGGGCGCTCTTGGGGCGCTCTTGGGAGCCTTCGGGGCGCTCTTGGGGCCATCTTGGAGGAGATCGATCAAAGAAGGGAGGGTCGTATATTAGCGCTGCCCCTCTAGAGTGCCTCGAGTCGCCTCTTGGGCCCCCCAAGAGGCCAAAATCCTTCCAAAACCTAAGGAAAATCAATGTTTTTTGCTTTCTCGCCTTTTCGCTCTTGGAGCCGTCTTGGGCCATCTTGGACTCTCTTGGGGCCTCTTGGGGGTCTCTTGGCAGCCTCTTAGAGGCTTCTTGGGGGCCTCTTGGGGTCTCTGGGGGCGCTCTTGGGGCGCTCTTGGGGCGCTCTTGGGAGCCTTCGGGGCGCACTTGGGGCCATCTTGGAGGAGATCTATCAAAGAAGGGGGGAGCTCCAATTAGGGTTGCCCCTCTAGAGTGCCTCGCAGCGCCTCTTGGGCCCCCCCAAGAGGCCAAAATCCTTCCAAAACCTAGGTAAAATCAATGTTTTTTGCTTTCTCGCTTTTTCGCTCTTGGAGCCGTCTTGAGCCATCTTGGACGTCCCGACACCTCGCGAGACGCCTCGTCCAGGTCAGTGGGGAGGGGTAAGGGGAGGGGTAAACCCCTCCCCGAAGGGGAAGAAGGGGGTTGGCAGAGGAAACTCTCTAGACCACCTACGCCCTAAAGGGCTGGTGGGATATAGGAAAATATGGGGGATCTTTTTATTTGTGTGTATTTATTTGTGTGTCCTGGGGCCTCTTCAAAGGCTGCGGCGGCTGCAGCGGCCGGCCGCCGGGTGCGCCAGCAGCGGCCGCCGCGGAAGGCGGCGGCTGCCCCCGCGGCCCTCCTTCCGCTGCCGGGCTGGGCGGCGCCGCGGCCCCCGAATTCGGTGCAGGCCACCACGAGGCCTCGGAGGCTAATGCTAGGCCGGAGGGCGCCAACCACTCAGACGTCCAGCGTCTCGGACAAAAAGATCAGGGCGGAGGCTTTTCACACTTCTCGGCCTCTCGGGGCCCTTCCCGGGCCTCGGGCCCGTCAGAGAATTCGACTCTTGATGAGGAGCCAGTCCTGGGGAAGTGGTCGAGAGGTCGGTGGCCCCTGTTTCGAAAACATCGGAACGCCGGATGTCTGGGTATGTCTGGGTATATGCACCCACGCACCGATCCTGGGCCCAGGCTCGGTGTGCATGTGCCCTCCCTGCCAGACCGGTAGGGGCGTACATCTAGTTAGTTGCACCGACACCTGGGCCCAGGATATCCAGCAGGGCCAATGCCGGCGCGGGTGTGTAGCCAGCGGCGCCCTCCTCACCAGGGTCGTGCGATCCCTCTCGTCTGCGTGGTGCCCGCGGCCAGAGCGCGAGGCCATCGAGGATAAAAGAACCCTCAACCCTGTAACACGATGAAGACGTGGCCTCACTTGGGCCCCCGCACTTGCACCAGGCATAATCACATTCTGGGCGGCTCGGTCCAGACCTGCAAAAAAGAGCCCCCGTTCCTACTATCTTGGGCCTCTGAGTTTAGGTCTGCTCCCAAAGAGTCAGGGGTACAGCCAGACCGAGGTATAAGATCGAGGTCGGTTCGGGGAGGGTGCCCTCGTGTTCTTCGTGTTTGTTGGATGTTCTTGTGCACCCTGGTCAGGATGCCCTTAGATGCTCTGTCTAATTTTGGCCAGCGGAGGGTCTCATGTTCTTGAGGGGTGTTCTTCTGGCCTAGGTCTGTCTGTACTTCTGTTGCTTGTCACGAGGGGGCGGGCTGGGCGGCCGCGGCGGCCTGCGAGCTGGCCGAGCTCCCGCCGCACCGGCTGCTGTGGTCACCGCAGCCGCCCGGACGGGCGCTGCGGCCGCCGCCGCCGGCTCACCACAGGGTGGCAGGGCCGCCGGAGCCGTCGGCGGTCGGAGGCCGCCCGCTGCCGTCGCAGCCGCGCTCGCGGCAGCCCCAGCAGCTGCATCCGCAGGTCGCTGCGATGCAGCGTCTAAGCGCAGGAGGAGGAGGAGGAAGAGGAGGAGGAGGAGGAGGGGGAGGAGGAGGAGCAGGAGCAGGAGCAGGAGCAGGAGGAGGAGGAGAAGGAGGAGGAGAAGGAGGAGGAGGAGGAGGAGGAGGAGGGAGGGAGGGAGGGAGGGACGGAGGGAGGAGGAGGAGGAGGAGGAATGATATCAGTAATAAATTTATAAACAAGAATAATAATATGTAGTCATAGTCGTAGTAATCGTAACAATATGAGTAATAGTCTTAGTAATATGAATATGAGTAATAGTATTAGTAATAGTAATAGTGATAGTAATAGTAATAGTAATAGTGATAGTAATAGTCATAGTAATCGTCATCGTAATGGTAATGGTAATGGTAATTGTAATAGGAACAGTACTAGGAATCGCAACATTAATAGTACTAGTAAGAGTGACAGTAATAGTAATAGTACTAGTACTAGCACGGGTAATGAAAATAGTAAGAGTAATAGTAATAGTAATAGTAGTAGTGATAGTCATAGTAAGTAATACCCATAATAGTATTCATGATAGTAAGAGTGGTAGTATTCGTAGTAGTAATAGTATTAGAAATTTGCATAGGTAGCAGTAATAGTGATAATACGAGTACTAGTAATAGTATTAGCAATCGTACTAGTATTAGTAATACTAGTAGGATAGTAGTAGTACTAATCTTATTAATAGTATCAGTAATAGTACTAATTATTGTTTAAAAGGAAGTAATATTAATAGAATTAATATCAGTAGGACCAGTATTATGAATGGTCCTAGTAATAGTAATAGTAATAGTAATAGTAACAGTAATCGTAATAGTAATGGTAAAATTATTAGAAATAGTAATAGTAATAGTACTAGTAATAGTAATAGTACTAGTACTCGTAATAGTAATAGTAATAGTACTATTAATAGTAATCGTAACATTAATAGTAATAGTAGTAGCAATAGTATTTGTAATAGTAACACTGATTCTGATAGTACTAGTAGTAGTAATAGTAATAGTAATAGTATTAGTAATAGTAATAGTACTAGTACTAGTAATAGTAATAATAATAGTATTCGTAATAGTATTAGTAATAGTAATAGTACTAGTAATAGTGATAGTAATAGTAACAGTAATAGTAATAGTAATAGTAATAGTAATAGTAATAGTAATAGTAATAGTAATAGTAATAGTAATTGTAATAGTAATGTCAATAGTATTAGTAATTGCAAGAGTAATCGTAATAGTAGTAGTAGTAGTAGTAGTAGTAGTAGCAGTAGTAGTAGTAGTAGTAGTAGTAGTAGTAGTAATAGAAGTAGTAGTAGTCGTAGTAGTAGTAGTAGTAGTAGTAGCAGTGGTAGTAGTGGTAGTAGTAGTAGTAGTAGTAGTAGTAGTAGTAGTAGTAGTAGTAGTAGTAGTAGTAGTAGTAGTAGTAGTAGTAGTAGTAGTAGTAGTAGTAGTAGTAGTAGTAGTAGTAGTAGTAGATAGTCGTCGTAGCAGTAGTCGTAGTAGTAGTAGTAGTAGTAGTAGTAGTAGTAGTAGTAGTAGTAGTAGTAATAGTAAATAGTAATAGTAATAGTTCTGGGTAGCAAGTAGTTAACATTTAGTAATAGTACTTGTACTAGCCGCCAGTAATAGATAATTGTCATCGTAACCGTAATGTAGTAATACTAATAGTACTCGTAACGTAATAGTACTCGTATTGGTAATCGTAGACAAACTAGTAGTAGCAGTAGTAGTAGGAGTAGTAGTAGTTAGTAGTTTAGTAGTAGTAGTAGGTAAAATTGTGATAGTATCAGTAATAATATTATTATTGAATCGCTTCGCTCATTCCGCCGGCCCGTATTGTGCCATCGCGGGGTCTTGGGGGGTTTTGGGAGCCCTTGGAAGCTTCGTGGGAGCTTCTTGGGAACTTTGGGAGGCCTCGTGGATGGCTCTGGGTGGGCCCTCTTGGTGGTTCTTGCGGCCTGTTGGGGGCCTCTTGGGGCTCTCTTGGGACTTCGTGGGGCTACTTGGGGGCTTGTAGGGGCATTGCGGGGGCGTGTTTGGGCGGGAGGCTCAAAATTTCCGTTCAGGTTGCCCCTGTGGACCTCAATCATGGGGCCGTCTTGGGGCCTCTTGGACCCTCTTGAGGGTTTCTTGGGCCTTCTTGGAGCGCTCTTGGGCCGTCTTTGAGCGGTCTTGAGGGTCTCTCGGGCCGTCTTGGGGTGATCTTGGGGGCCTCTTGGACCGCCTTGAAAGGTGTGAGAGACGAAGAGGCGGATATGTTAAAAATGCAGGCTTTCCTAAGGGAATGGGACGATTTTTGCTAGTGGGAGCCCTCTTGGGACGCCGCTTAGGGACCTCTTGGGGCGTCTTGAAGGCCTGTTGGGCCGTCTTGAGGCCATCGTAGGCGCTTGGGGGTGATATTTCGGCGTCTCCCGGCTCTCTTGGACCGTCTGAAGGGCTTCTCGGGCCCCTCTTGGACCGATTTTGAGCCCTCCTGGGCTCCGAAAAAGAGTTCTTGAGGTTTTCTTGGGCCTTCTTGGAGCGCTCTTGGGCCGTCTTTGAGCGGTCTTGAGGGTCTCTCGGGCCGTCTTGGGGTGATCTTGGGGGCCTCTTGGACCGCCTTGAAAGGTGTGAAAGACGAAGAGGCGGATATGTAAAAAATGCAAGTTTTCCTAAGGGAATGGGACGATTTTTGCTAGTGGGAGCCCTCTTGGGACGCCGCTTAGGGACCTCTTAGGGACCTCTTGGGGCGTCTTGAAGGCCTGTTGGGCCGTCTTGAGGCCATCGTAGGCGTTTGGGAGTGATATTTCGGCGTCTCTCGGCTCTCTTGGACCGTCTGGAGGGCTTCTCGGGCCCCTCTTGGACCGATTTGGAGCCCTCCTGGGCTCCAAAAAAGGGTTCTTGAGGGTTTCTTGGGCCTTCTTGGAGCGCTCTTGGGCCGTCTTTGAGCGGTCTTGAGGGTCTCTCGGGCCGTCTTGGGGTGATCTTGGGGGCCTCTTGGATCGCCTTGAAAGGCGTGAAAGACGAAGAGGCGGAAATGTTAAAAATGCACGTTTTCCTAAGGAAAGGGACGATTTTTGCTTGTGGGAGCCCTCTTGGGGCGCCGCTTAGGGACCTCTTGGGGCGTCTTGAAGGCCTGTTGGGCCGTCTTGAGGCCATCGCAGGCGTTTGGGAGTGATATTTCGGCGTCTCCTGGCTCTCTTGGACCGTCTGGAGGGCTTCTCGGGCCTCTCTTGGACCGTTTGGAGCCCTCCTGGGCTCCGAAAAGGGACCTTGCCGGGAGTCTGCCGGGAGTCTGCCGGGACCTTGCCGGGACCTTGCCGGGACCTTGCCGGGACCTTGCCGGGACCTTGCCGGGACTTTGCCTGGAACTTGCCGGGGTACTTTTCGTCCGGGGACCCCCAGGGCCCGCCCCACGCGCGCGAACTAGAAATATTGTTGAGCAGTTACCGGAGATCTTAGCACGCCTCTGGCCCGTTGGGCCGGCGAATTAGTAATAGTAGTCGTAATCGTAAAAGTAAAAAGTAAAAGTAGAAGTAAAAGTAATAGTAATAGTGATAGTAATAGTAATAGTAATAGTAATAGTATTAGTAATAGTCATAGTAATAGTAATAGTCATAGTCATAGTAATAGTAATAGTACTAGTAATAGTAATAGTCAGAGTAATAGTCATAGTCATAGTCATAGTCATAGTAATAGTACTAGTACTAGTACTAGTACTAGTACTAGTAATAGTAATAGTAATAGTAATAGTAATAGTAATAGTAATAGTAATAGTAATAGTAATCGTAATCGTACTACTACTAGTACTAGTACTAGTACTAGTACTAGTA